CCAATCGCTGCCACACTCCGTTTCCCTTTAAAGGGCTGGTGAACCGAAATTTGGATTTCAGAAAACGATGCAGAAGCCGTAGGCGGGACGCTACAATCCCTAAAACACTACTCGTAGTCACAAGGCGATATCTCGAATGGACGGCCGTATTTTTGGAGAAAGAGGTTGAGATTGAACGAGGCCGATAACGCGCGTGACGTCAAGATATCTCGTTTTCTCCTCTCTGCTTCGCCCCCTCAATGCGGCGAGGCGGAGAAGACGCGAGGTCGTTCCCTTTCCTTCTCGGAGAAACAAGACAAACAAATCTGTCAAATGCGCCTCCTATTTTTAAAAGTAAGGTCATCCATTCGAAATATCGCTGTATGAGTGATGTTTTGGTGTTTGTAGCATCTTGTTACACGCTTTTGCCGCCGTGTTTTATGGAATCCAGATTTCGGTTCAACATCCCTTTAAGTGCAAGTGAAACTGAAATGCCAAGAATGAGCACGTTGTCCTGAACGACAGTTGCACTGCACAAGCGCGCATGCTTAGCAACATTCAAAGCATGGAGCTTGCTCTTAAAGCCTCTGCATCAGGCTTCCTGTTGCAGCTCGTGTTACCGAAACAAGCTTTTGGGCAGACATTTTTTTATAAGTAGAAACTTCACCTGCACCGCAGTGCTCCGACCGGTACTCGGAGTACTTAGTTGCGGTATTTTAGATAAAACAGAAGGGCATTGAGCAGTGCAAACTACGATTATTGTCAGGTAAGAAGTATTCAGTTGCAGTAATTGTTTTGCTTTACATACAAAAAGGCTGGAGTATGCTTAAATGCTGGGCTAGCAACCGATCGCTACCAGGGGCCCTATGCTACACGACGGGACCAAGCGGAATCAAGGGACCGGGAGCCATCCAGCGACCTGGATGCAAAGATGGGTTCAGCTTTCACGGGATTGGTGCCACCTGGATCTTGTCCCAAAGGGCCAGCAGCAGCTGGATAGCCTCGCATTGCGATGCGGGGATGGGGATGCCGAGCGAGCTCGGGGCATGCCGCCCACTCAGTGTGAGGGCCAGGTGCTCCCACTGACTGGCTAGGTGCATGTTGATGAGTTCCTGGAAGGTGTTGTTTACACTTAGCAGCCGGAGCTTGGCGTTCGACGCGTACGGCGGCACCCCCAGTGCCAGCTAGTACCCCTTGCAAATAATCACGTCCATCTTGCCCTTACCTCTCGACAGCAGGCCAGGTTGAGATACGGATTTGCGCAGGCGATGTGGCTCACGACGAGTGGTTGGGTCAGCCGGATCAGGTCCGACTCCTAGAGCCCGTGTCTGTGACTCGGTATCCTTCTTCTCACCATGCGCATGACTTGCGTGGTTGTCTTGACGAGTCGGTCGACCGTGTACTTGGCTCCGCCGTCCCGCTGGAGGTGAAGGCCCCAGTATCCGAACCCGCTTCACCACCGGCACGGGGGTACCATCCTTTAACGTGAGGCGGATGTCCGCCTTCTTCTTCTTCGGGAATTGGCTTGCCCGCGCGGAGGAGCAACAGCTGAGACTTATCGGGGGCGCGCTGGAGGTTGCCGGCCTCGAGGTAGTTCTGCACCGTCTCAATGACTTCTTCGAGGAAGTCTTGCCTCCCGCTGTCCGATCCCGACGTAGCCCAAATCGTCAGGTCGTCCACATAGAGTGGCATAGAGTGTATGCTTCATCCGGGGAATCCGTTCCAGTAGAGGAGGCGGCTTGCACATTGCCAGGTAACAAGGTGGGTGACAGGACCGAGCCTTGCCGGTTGCCCTTGCTCGGTATCGGGATGGTGCTTGTGCGGATGGACTCGATTCCGATGGTGGCCATCCAGTTGCTCAGGAAGTCCCGCACATAATCATACATCCGGGGCCCGCACCCAGTTGAGGCCAAGTTCTCGAACACCAGCGTGTGACTGACGTTGTCAAAGGCGCCCTTTATATCCAGGGCCAGGACCGCCCGCGTTGTCGTACAGGAGATTCTTTCAAGGATATCCTTGATCTGAAGCAGGACATCCTGCGTGGAGGTGTGACCAGAACCCGAAAATGGTGTTCATGGTGGCATTGAGTTCAATACAGGATGGTCCCCTCAAATATCGCTGTAAACAGCTCATCAGGGCATGGGCATTTAAAAAACTGAAATGGAGTGTTCAGGTCTGTGACGCTCGGCGGTATACCTGATAACCTCTATTTCTTTTGAATCCTTTTCAAGGGAGTATATTTTCCACTTCGGGGGACTTTTCTTGTTTCTGGCACTTACTACTGCAGGAACTGTTTCACCCTCACTTTCTTCTTTGCTTTCACAGCACTCATTTGATGTTAATGTGGAAGGGAATTGGCCGGATTCCACTCTTCGTTCCTACGTAAAATGTGCTGGCGTCCAATACCTGCCACAAAAAGGGTACTTAAGATTCCAAAAATGACTAAGAGTGTGTAAACATATGATGCCAGCATTTCTTTTTTTTATTTCCAATGAGCAACATTATATTATGCCAAAACTCTCCCTAAATGCACACTGCATTTCACAGCGCGCTAAACTCTGCCGGAAAAATCGGCGCCTGCACGCAAAGGGGCGTCGTTTCCTCAGCAGTGTATTTTACCTTGTGAAATTTTAAGGCGCTCCTTTCTTTTGCAGCTAGAACATCCTTAAAAATACTAAAAATGCGTTCGCCACGGACGACCGAGTCTTCCGCTGGCAAACGCTGTCGTTTGCGTACGATACGCCTTGAAATTTTCACCCCATGGCCGATCAGGCGCCGATTTTTCCGGTTGCTTTCCCATACCTTGAGCCACCCAGAAACACCGCGCGCCCCCGTAAATAAAAAAAAAATAAAAAAAAAAAAGAATGGAACGGCATTGAGTGTTTTGTTTACTTACCGACTTTGTGCGTGGACGGCGCCACGTTGCGCTGCCTGATGCACCCGCGTTTTGGAACTAATTCAGTTGACAGTTCCCTCCGAAGATGAAGCCACTGAAGCCACGGCGGTAATCGTACTGGTAGGCTGTTCCCTTTCGAACGGGCGGAAGAAGACTACGAAGAATTCGGCAGCGAACGGGCGGAAACTCGATTACGTACAGCTTCAGTAGTCGACGCTTTGTTTTCTCGATTGCGTTCGCGGCGTTCACCGTGGACTCGCGCACTCGGCCGTAGCCGAACCAGCCGAACGGCCGAACCAGCTGGACGGCTGCCGGCGCCCGTACCGACAGCGTCGCCATAGCAACCACGCCGCGAGTGTGGTTGCCAGACAGAATTCACACGATTTTTTTTTCTCGTCACTCACGTTGAGTTACTAGAAGTTAGGCGCGTATCATTATAATACATTATGCTGTAAGAAGTTATTAAGGGATATGTGTACCTACCTAGGACAAATGCAGAAAAAATATTATTGAAAAATAAAATTGGCGTAATCTTTTCATATCTTGATTAAGACTAGCGTGGTGACTGGGCTAACCGATGCGCGAAATAGGAGGGCATATATACCGCTCGGGGCAGTTGTCGGTTTGTATAAGTAGGTTGTATGTACTATTTGTTGTGTGTTGTGCTATTGATCAGTGCTTGTATGCGCGTGTGTATGTACAGTGTTGTGTGTATGTCGATGTCGTGAGTGAATGTAACGGCGCGGTGGGCAGTAAAAAAACTGCTGTTTTCTTTTTTCAAATGTTTTTCACTTTTTGTTTTCGTCGCTAGATGGGGGTTGTCGCCGCCCAATTTGAAAAGTGTGGCGGTTGGTGATCTATAACTATTAGAGGGCTCTATGCCATTAGTCCATCCGTCGTGTTGATCGCTCCGAGTTGTTCGGTTCCCCTGGCAGCTGTGTCGCCGTGTTATGCTGCCTGATTGCAACAAAAGGAGGTTAGGCGGCTTCCCCAGCGCGTGTTCTAGGTGCTGAATGCCGCTGTTCACGCACAAAGGTTCATGAGTGGATAACGCACGTAACAGAGGTGAGCACAGGCAATAGTTAATCGAGAGCCGCACGGAGCGCGAGTGCGATACCTCCTAGCCGCTGTCGACAGAGGGTGTCGGAGCGATTCGTTGTCAACTTGTCCACGGCAAGTGGGCGTTTTGTTCAATAAAGCCAGCCTGTCAGTGTTTTGTAAAGCTATCCCTTCTTTATAAGCGCTTCTGATGCGATGAAAATGCGACCGGCATTGAGCAGGCCGAGCGAGACTTCGGCGACAGTCTCGGCTGTTCAGTCTCCAGCGGTTTCGGCCTTACTCGTATTATTTGCGGTGTTGGCGCTCGGACATAGAGATGTTTGGAAAGTTTTTTGCGCCTACAGATGACACCAAACGAGCGTGCGAGCCGTATGCTTTTGCTCCGGCGAGAAGCCGCGTACGGCTCGCCAGGCTCGTATCGCCTGTCGCATACTTGCCGCCATATTGTTTTTAGGGTGTTAGCAGTTAACACGATTTTCACCACCTCCGGCGGCTAACACCCTTACACGAATAAAGGCTTTAGCCAGAGGACGAGCCATTTACACGAATAAGGGTGTAAAAATTTTAAGTGTGCATATATAATATCATATCATACACCAGCATATCGCCGCAGGTTTGAAACGTAGTGAGTGAAAATCAAGGGAATCCGTTTTGAGTCCAATACTAGCCTGCTGAAACCCGAGCGTTGTGCGTTGAGCTCGCACGTGGTACGACACGACCTGTTTTGGGCCTCCATAGTTGCCCGATATTGGCGATCCCTGTGCCCATGTAGGGCAACTGGTCGCCGCTATGTTTCTAATCGTGCGAGAAAGGCCGTGCAGTTTCAAGCTTGCCAAAGCTATGTTCAGGTGTACGCTGCGCGTGCTTGCACGCATGGGGCACCTGTCAGGGCGTTATGCTTGCGATTGTCTATAGGTCGCTGGAGTCGCGAATAGCGCTACATTTGGGCGCAGACGGAGCGCTCGACGATGCGTTCTTTAGAGTTGTGAGATGAACAAGGTTCCCCTTCCTCCCCTACACCTTAATCCTATCCCGGTGATGCCACGTCTCTGTCCAGTTCCGCCCTCCTTCGGCCCTGGAGCCTCCCCGTACCATCCGTCGTCGTCTGGGCCGTCAGGTCCTGTGGGCCCGGGCCCCCATCCGGCCATCGGCCACGGAGGGCCGCCCCTTCCGCCCGTGCCCCCGGGCCCCGAAAATGGCGGAGACCAGTGTGACCGGGTCTTGGCAGAGCCCTACTTTGAGCTGAGGAGCACCGCCCTGGGCTCTGGAAGCGTCGACTGCAGGTACTGCTTCCTGCTCTCCTCGCCCCATAAGAGAGCAAGCGCCACTCAAGCAGTGGAAAATTGGAATAATTTGTCGTTAGCCGGAAGCTTCGTGAGGAGATGCGCCAACCCTCCTGCCTCTTGCACGTCTCATGCGTTTAGCCATTCTTTAATAAGACGCTCGTCACTCTAAAGGGAAACTGAAGCGGTTCTGTATTTGAGAAAGAACACTTCAATGGCCTTCATTCTACCTCCAGGATCAGGAATATCAAGATTATTTTTTTAACTTGGTGCTCGGAGGCTTCAGAAATTAATTTTTAAAGTACCACCGAAGCCCCTCCTTCCCGGGGCGTGACGTCACATTAGGAGTTTTCGGAATCTCCGCTCTCGCGCATCTTCAGCGCCTGTCAAAGCTATGCGCGCGCACTCTTGCTATTTTCAAAAAGGTCAGAAACAGTCGTCACGACTTCCGTCAGTGCGGAAAAATATACCTTGCAAGCTTGCCTTTGCACGCGCTGCCCACACGAGCGACACGCGCTTGGCGGCCCAAAGATCCTAGTATGACGTCACGACTGGTTGGAGGTTTTTCGCGTTTTCTTGCTTTCAGTTGCATCTTTAGGGAAAGGGAATGTGCAGATTCACGGTATAAAAATACGCCAAAATTCACCTCTAACTCGTTTTTTTCGAGAAGTGTTTCAGCATCCCTTTAATGACTACAGACCTGCTGGGGACCATTTTGGAACCCCAATAAAATCGGGGCGAGGCCAGTCGTAGTGCCAAAAGACGAGCCAACGGTCCGTGCTCGCTTCCGTCACTTCAATTCCTCCTTTTCGTCCGAGAAAGAGGGCGACCTTGCTCCTTTCTTCGAGCGAGTAGCTCAGGGCCGGATTAAGGAACGGGCTAAGGGGGCTGCAGCCCTGGGCCCCAGGCTGTCAGGGGGCCCCATGCTGGCCCCTGAAAATTTAAAAATGTTAGTCTTTTTTTTTAAATTTTATTTAAGATAGTTTAGGCAGAAAGCAGAAGAAATACTCCGAAGGGCCTCTGGCGTAATGGCCTTCTCGTTCTCTTTTCATCAACAAGGAAACAAGGGTGCCACAAAATTCCCGTCTCTAGATCAGCTGGCGTTTGTGAGCTCGCTGTACAGGAGCGTGCCAGAACAACAAAATTTAACACGGCCTCCCGTGCCCCTTGTTAGATTTTTTTTAAATCGGAGATTGATGGGAGGATGGTATGGAGCTTTCTTTTGTGCTGGGACCCCCTTAGCGTGTTTTACGGACAATTGTGGGCAGGAAGTTAAGCAAGCGTTAAGCAAGCAACGCAGATGGTTCACATGTTGTTTTAAACCTTTTCGCGAAACTCCATATGGAGTTTATTCCAGAACGATAAGTTAGAAACAAGCGAAAAGCTGCCCGTAAATCTTCCGGACACCGTCTCTATAGCCACCAACAAAGAGGCGTTTCAAGGAGCCGGCGCCCCTCAACAGTTTTTGATGGGTACTGCATGCAAGGAAGTGCTCTAGAGTCGATATCTGGTCTGCCAGTGCTACTGAACGCTCTTCCTTCCAGCGTCTGATATGAATACTGCAATGGTTTCCCCAACCTCTGAGGTATAGCCTCTTATTTTTAACCTTGAGTCACAGAACAAAATGGCCGCCGAGGTCTAAATTACCGCATTTAAAAAGAACAAGATGAGTACTAAATCTGATGCGATGCATTTCCCCCATTCAGAAAGACAGCGTGTAGATACGAAAGGAAAACATCTTCTCGATTCTCATCATAAATTCTTTAAATGCAAATGTGCAAGAACGACAGCGGTCGATGTCTTAGAATCGCTCCCATGCTTTAAATGTGGAAGTTTGTGTTTGTTTGCGAAACGGGGGTTCAGTTATTAGAAGGGCGTTTACAAAGTACTGTAAAACCCTTAATGTTCGCGAGCCCTCAATTTTCGCGAATCTCACGAATTGAAAAATTCGCGAAAGTTAAGGGCGCGCGAAAATTTCGGTCCTTAAGATTTTCATTGCAGGCTTCTGGAATTCGCGAAATTTAGTGGTCGCGATTATGTCATCTGTGACCGATTCGCGAAAATTAGGGGCCGCGAAAATAAAGAGTTTTACAGTAGTTTGATCCCGATAAAGACTGCTCCAACCAACGAAATTTCTTTCTTGCCTACGTCACTTCCTTCACTGTTCATGCCAGTAATTAATTAACAAAAGGCTAGTGAGAAGTTAAAACACCTCCAATAATTTGGAACAATTACAAGAATGAGGGCTCTAGATTTTTGTGGCAGTTGTCAATTTGCGAGGCATGCCATTTAGGGGAAGCGAAATTAGAATGGGAATTTTGCAGGTACCTTTTCTGTTGCTGCATAACTCAATTCTTGTGTGATTAATGATTTTACTCGACATGTTAGCAGAAGGGTCACCTGTGCTACAAGTCGACCTATTGTCCAATTCGTATAAACTGGCCCGGGCATGTACTCTGTGAATCTTGCTGCAATTCTAGTAAAACAAATTCATGAACGGAGTCAACATTTAAACGGAAGCAATTTAGTGTTGTTGTTGTTGTTGTTTTTGTGGCTAAGTTGCTGGATGTGAACGACAAATCCTAATATTTTTCGCAATGTTTATTTGACCTCACTTTTGTACCTCAAAATTACTGTGTTGTAAATTGCTACAGGGGTTGATTCTTTGTGAAGTAGCTTCTCAACAATCGCATCCGCTCAATGCCAGCAAGAAAAACTGTAATTACATTGAATCTACGGATCTAAACAAGGCTCGGCACTAAACAAGGCTCGGCATAGGATGAAACATATCTTGATTTAACAAGTTCGAAAATATACATATTCCCGTCATCATCGTTACCTCCCCCACCACCATTATCATAGGTAGAGGTCTCATAACAGCCTCAGCCCAGGGCCCCCAAATGCCTTAATCCGGCACTGGAGTAGCTCACAGTCCCGCTCCTGTGAGCAGAGGAGAAAAGAAGAAAGGGAATGGAGAAAGAAACCGGGAACTGGTTTTCTTCGCGGGAGAAGAAAATTCTGCAGGTCAGCCCTTAAAGGAAGTTAGAGCAAAACAATTGCTGCCACTGGTAAATTCCCCCAAATTATTTCACTATACTCATTCCCACAGAGAGATCAGCGAGAAACGAGGATAGACTACCGGCACATTGTCTCTCTGCCTAGGAAGTAATCAGGGGCCCGAAAACGATGCACGGTTAAAAATCCTCAGCCATATGTAACCATCTGGTATCCACCATGGCCTCTGAGATTCTCGGCGCGCAAAGCCCTCTTCCGGCAGAAGGAACTCATAGCGCAGCTTCTTCATAGCTCCGCAAGACGATACTGATACCGAGCCGTTCATTATGCTAATTTCAGCACCATGGAGGACGATGACGACGATGACAGGAACAGGAGAGCTGGCTGGGCTGGTTTGTTGAACGACATATTACAAACCAACGCAAAAAAGTCGGGACACAAAGTATATCCCGTGTCCTTCTTCGACTTTCTGTCCCGTCTTTTTTGCATTGTTTTATAATATGACGACGACAGAACCTATACCGGGTAACCGCGGCGCTACGTTTCGAGTCCTGGACATAAATTCCTCGGGGGTGGCAGAGAGAGTGTCGAACGGCAATTTTTATCGGTTCCGTTCCGGTTAAGGTTTACAGTTTTGGTTCAGTTCCGGGGAGTAAAAATAACGCGTCAAACCGGCTTCAACCGGTTCGAACCGCCATTTTGAGAATCGGAATTTACTTTCTACGCTGTTTTGGCAATACTTACTATTTATTTCCAACGTGAAACAAGCAACTATATACTAATTTATCATTCGTACACTTCACATTTATTTTCAGGTAACAAAATAAGAAATTGTTGTATTTAAGTTTGACGCCACACTAAAATTAAATCCAGGTTACTCTACAAATGGATATTGGGTTTATACAACCCAACATCCATTTGTTTGCCCAAGTCAGTTATATTTTGCCTGAATCAAAAAGTTATCAAGAAGTGTGGTAGGATGCTTAAAATACCTGTGATTGGTAAAACGTCGCGCCGCAGAATGAATAGTTGAATCGTAGTTGTGCTCTTGAACTAACGAATAAATTACAGTGCATAAAATTATAAAATGGAAATCTCGTCTCCACATATATCTGAAAAATAATTGACGAAATACGTTTCGCAGTATATATGATGACACAACTGAGCTAAAAGCAACAATATTTTCAAAGTATCACAAACGTTTTAGGACAAGCTACTTCGCTCTACCTATATAGAAACACTGAGCGGCAATCACAACGCTTTTTTCTTTAACCATCATTGTTTACACTGTGCAGTGCCATGCAGGTGAATAATCATGCAGAAATGAGTGATCAAAATTATTCACTCTAATTTATATGCACCTTCAAACTAAGATCGAATGTGACCTAAACTTGCGCGTACCCAAGTACAAATTTTCTTATATCCGATAAACTGGCATAGCCTGGCGGTTGATATTTGTTGTACCAAGATGCCGGTGAATTCAATTTGAAAATAAGCGGCACCCTTGCGAATTTATAATTTTTTGTTGAACAGAACATAGTATTTTTGACATGGCGACTACTTAATTGGTTACTTTCTTACAGTCTGCGTGCGTAATCGTCATAGTTCCACTACGCGCCCCTCTGTACTTAGTTTCCGTCTAGCCCACAGACACATACTATTGCTATTCATAACATAAAAGAGGCAATACAGTATAACCTTTATAATTTCTAGTAGTTATATATATGTCTCAGGAACAGATAGTTATCAATATCAGCTTCAGAATAATTTTTTTTTTAATGCTCCTTATGCATAAAAACGCCGGAAAAGTTTTACCAGGTCATATTTCAGATAATTTGGGGAGCATTTACTTATAATGTATATCTTTAAGGTGATCGGCATTTTATTAATGTTCGCAGATTGGAGCGAAGGTTCGCGCTGCAGAGTCCAGGGATCCTGGGTTCAAACCCCATCCCTGCACGTTTCGATCTGAATGAGCATCGTAT